TAATAATTTGCATAATTTGCAGAATTATGATGCGATAGTGCATGTTCCGTACTTTCATACTTTCGGAAATCAATCCCGACGTACTTATATCTAATAAAACATGATTAAAACGTTCGACTCTCCGAAGCTGAAAGCATAAATCAAAATAATGGAGAAGTGTAATTGCTTTATTACACATAAGTGGAAATTCTCATGAAATTCTTATAGCATTGATTTTGAAAAATGTCACGCGCGCTACGAGATTTAGATAAAAGGAAAGATACTTCTCTTGAATAGATTATACAATAACATTTCCTGTTGTCACATAATGTAATTCGAAATACGCGATTTTGTTGTAAAGAATCGAGTGCTTCTTATCGTGCACCTCGAGAGATAATTAATAAAATAATACTGATATTTATAGCCGGTTCTTATATTTAAGTACGGATCTTAATCTTCCTGTCTGCAATCATATTTTTACTGCTTCCGTCTGAAATCTGAGTCTTTTTTTGTCTAGTCCAAGTTGTTTTACTTCTCTAGGTTTTCAAAAAATGTAGAAAAATTCAGAGTTATATAACAGAGTTTTAACGTCTCTATTCGTTATCAGATAGTTTTTAAAGTTTTGTAAATGTTATTTAATAACAGTTGAAATTTGAGTGAAATGATTATTTAATAAGAATTGAAATTTGAGGGTGAAATTTCTCTTGTTAAAATAATCCAAACGGAGAATTAAGATCATAGAGCCAGCATTTTAGAAGAATCGAATGACATTACTGGCTATTTCTATTTATTAGATTAATATTATATTTTTGTAATAGATAGGATTCTGAAAATTTGTTATGAGAATGCACCTTTGTTGAACAAACGAGTTTCTACATTGAGAAAAAAGAGTTGTTAACTAATTTAGAATAAATTATGACGAAATATTTAATTTTTCGTTATTTTCTTTATTTTCAGAGTAATTTATTCGCTTGGTCGTTTTAGTGAATTAGAACTACTAATACTAACAGTGTTAAAACATTAAGACCTTGATACAAGCACGGTGGATTATGAATACTGGCCTAAACTCTTGTCGATCGCCGACAGATCGAAGCACATTTATTCCCGCGGATTTGAGAGGCATCTAATAAGGGGCATCGGTCCAAGTCCCCTCTCTCGAGATCCGTTGTCAAAAATACGCAGATCCGTAGCTAAAAATATACTCACGAGCGAAAGTGTGTACACGTGAGGAGGGAGGAAGAAGCCCGTATCGAGTAACACACATCGCGCAACTCCGAAAAATACTCCAGCATTCGAATGTAAAAGTGAAGCGGCAATCCGGTTTTCTCGCTCGGTCCCGTCCCTCGAAATCTCGTCCTTCGTCAGTAACCGTAGCAGGAAAGGGACTAGGGAGGAATCCCGTCCGGGAAGCTGGTCGTATGAGAGGACCTTTATGTGCGCACTGCGTGCGGATCGCAGACGGTCGAGTCGAGGGCCCTTCTGTGCCCTTCCCCTCCTTTCCTCCGTCTGTTCCGGGCAGGCCCTGGCACTCTTCCCTTCACACAACTGCCAGCCGACACAAAGCTTCGTTCTCCGAGCGATGTACAAGGTCTCCCGTTCGTTTCCCCGGACACCCGGTGTCTGTCCCTCTTTCTCCTCCCATCCGTCCTTTACCACCCTTCTAAGTTCGTCTCTCTCGTTGCTTTTTTACGGCGCGCACCATCCTTGTTTCGCCGACTCGTTTTTCTTCCTCGGGGAAGCCGCTCATCTCACCGTCTCTCCTCGTCTACGTCTCTTACCTTGCCGTGCCGCGTATTCTTTTCGTCCGTGTGATCGTCCTGCGCGTTTATATACCGGGTGAAACGCGCGCGCGAAACGGAATTTTCTACTACGTGCTTTTTGCTTGCTGTGAATTCGAATATTTTAGAGAATACCGAAGGCGAGCCACGAGATCAACAGCGCTCGATCGATTCAATAGCGATGAATAATTCTAAGAGAATTTTTAAAGAAATTGTGAATTTATGATTTAGGTATTTTTATATGTAAACACATATAACATCATAAGGAATGTAGAATTTTTGCGATGTTAAATATATCTCACGATCTTTATAAGATTTTAATGGTTTTGTTCAAATATTATTAGTAGTTGTCTTTGTAAATAATCCATAAATTCAATAGTCAATGAATAATTCCAGAAGGATTCTAAAGGAATTATGAATCTTTGATGTAGAATAACATCAAGAAATTGTGTAGAATTTTTGTGATATTGAACATATTATCGCGTCGATAGAAACACAAGTTAAAAATTAGTCTTAGGATAAGTAAGTTGTTTTAAAGAATATATATAATTAAATATGTAAATATAAATGAAAGTGTGACATGGAAAAAAATGAAGTTATGCATGTTACTATTTTAATTAAAATGTTGCTCCAATTCAAAATTTTATCTATCGAAAAATTGCTCATTTTGATTACTTTTTTATCATGTCTTTTAATGGATTTTTTCAAATCTTTAATAGAAAGTCTTAGAAAGCTTTAATAGAATTGCCTTAGAAAGCAATTCATAAATAGCATTTTTTTTTCATATATTTTGCTTTGAAATATTATAAAGATAGCATTGCTTTTTGAAATATTATAAAGATAGCATTGCTCTTCCTTCAAAAATGACACAATTAAAAAATTTTTTGAATTATTACCATGAATAATTTAGATAAATATTATCTTATAGGATATTAATCATGAAAAGTGAATTAATTAATGTCATAACAAATCGTAATGAAAAAAATTATTTAAATTATTTAAAACAAAAAAGTTTGATCGTGTTAAGAATAAATTCTCTTTTGCCAAAATGATTTGATTAGTCAATAATTTTCTGTCAAGTTGAAAAATAGTTTCTCTCCTTTCCTTTCGATAAACTTCATTTTTAGTTGTATCACTTTTGAAGTAAGGGAGTGACATACAAATTCTGGGTTACTTTCGGTAGCCATCATGAATAACACATCGAACATACGTAGACAATTCTTGTCGAGGATACGTCAACCATTTTCGAACGATAGAATATTACTCCAGTGAAATAAAATCGAAATTTGGATTATGCAAATACAAACAGGATCCGTATTATGCAAATACAGTCAAGATGTGTGCTATGCAAACTCGTATTATGCAAATGTCCTCGGCGGAACATTTATTTCCACTTTCCTACGGGGCGAGAACATTCTAACGCTGGAGTTTACACATTACAAACTACAACCATTGCATGGCGATTATTTACCGCGCGTTACAACGAATTATAAATTGCATCGTGCTTTCGCGCGTGCATTAACACAGTGCAACCGCCATTATTATAAAATCATTCCACCCAGAGAGAGCCGAAGGGTGAATAGCGCGTAATCGCCAACGAATATCATGGACACCCCGTATACACCCTGACGCGCCTCCTACGTCGTTTCGCCAACACATCTGAACACATCGGCGGCGCACGGCGATACATCGAACCCTGTAAGAACGACGAAGACGACATTAAACGGTCGCACAGGAAGCGCGAGCGAGATCGTGGCGGATCGAGCCGTGTCGGCTGTTGCCGTTGCCGGCTGGTAAACCTGGCTCCTTCCTCCTCCTCCCTTCCGCCTCTCCCGCCGCCCGCTCGGCCCACCCAACCCGATTCCCGCGAAAGCCTACGCTCCCCCCCCTCTACCGCGTGGAGCGTCAGTCGCCCCGCGTCCCTCCGACGAGTCAGAGTCGTTGTATCGCTCCCCACTCACGTGACCCCGCGCCGCACCTGGTCTATCTGCCGCGCCGCGCCGCACGCGGCTACGGTAAGCCTGCTATTCTCTCCCTCCTCCTCTTCTTCCTCCTCCTCCTCCTCCTCCTCCTCCTCCTCCTCCTCC